CCCTCCAGCTGGCCAACCCCATTCTGCCCCAATCGGGGCAGCCAGCCAGATCACACATGTGCACAAATTCATGCACCAGGCCTCTAGTATGTGTATATATGTATATCTACACTAAAAAAAGAGAAACATGCAAATTAACCATCACTCCACTATACCCACAAGCCACGCCCATTGACCAATCAGGAGCAAGTATGCAAATTAACCCAACCAAGATGGCAGCCGGCCATAGAGCTGAGCAAGCAGGAGGCTTGGGTTGCCCCGGCAATGGAGGAAACCAAGCTTCTCACCCACCCTGGCTGGCCCTGTCCTCCACTCAAGGCTACAAAGTTTCAATTATAGAAGATAAATAAATCCTAATACTTGCTTCCAGCCAACCCTGGCTTCTGCTCAAGGAGGCACTGAAAAAATAAAAATAAAAATAAGAAAAGAAGGGGCTAGAACCTTGGCTCATGGGGGGGGGGGGGGTGATCAGGCCAGGATGGGATGGCAGGGCCATTTGGGGTAAGCAGACCAGCAGGGGAGCCAATTGAGGGTGAGCAGGCTGTCAATGGGGGACAGTTGGAGATGATCAGGCCAGTGGGGGGGGGGGGGGTAGTTAGGGGTGAGCAGGCTGGCACAGGGGGCAGTTGGGGGTGATCTGGCAGGGAGCATTTGGGGGTGAGCAGGCAGGCAGGCAAAGTGGTTAAGGGCAGGCAGGCAGACAGGCAGGCAGACAGGCAGGTGAGCGTGTGGAGGCAGCAGTCCCGGATTGTGAGAGGGATTTCCGCCTGCTAGTTTAGGCCTGATCCCAATAAACCAGCAATAGGACATTTGAGGGGTTCCAGATTGGAGAGGTTGCAGGCCGAGCTGAGGGACACCCCCCCTCTCCCGTGCACGAATTTTGTATGTGTGTGTATACAACATGATGGATAATGTCCCCAAGATAAATGTTAGCAAAACAGCAGAAGCATTCCACATCATACGAAAAGGGATGGCATAATGTTAGGTCCTAATTTATTTATTTTTTAAATATATTTTATTGATTTTTACAGAGAGGAAGGGAGAGAGATGGAGAGCTAGAAACATTGATGAGAGAGATACATCGATCAGCTGCCTCCTGCACACCCCCCACCGGGGATGTGCCCGCAACCAATGCACATGCCCTTGACCAGAATTGAATCCAGGCAACATTCCATCCACTGAGCCAAACCTGTTTCGGCAAGTCCTAATTTATTAAGTGCAATTCAGCAGGCATCTGGAGTATAGACCCAGGTACATAATGTTTTCTTAAAGTGCTCCAAGTGGCTTGTAAAAGCTGGGAGAACTCAGTGTTCAGTATGTAACTAGGCTTCTAGGATATGTTAGTTCCTCCTTCCCCCACCACCACCAACTCCCCTATTTCTCTTGCCCAGAAATGGTCTATAATTATACTTCTGCTGCCCTCTGGTGGCTCTGAGAATAAAAGCACTCAGCGAAAAATCCCCTCAAAACTCGGGCGGGGGGGGAGGGGGGGGGAGGTCTTGAGCCCTCACTGAACACCCTCACCCTTATCAACCCTTGACCTCTGCCTTCAATAAAATCCCAAATCCCAAGTTCAGCTCTTCAACAACCTTTCTCTCTCTCTCTCTCTCCTGTCATTGCCGCCTGTAAGGAGATCTGCAGCTTCAACGTGAACAAAGGCAGGCTGCCAGAGATGAGAAGGAAAGATCTAGAAAGAACCCTTCTCCTCATTCTCAGCTTGAGCTGCTTGGGCTCCCCATCTCAACAGAAAAATAAGCCTACATTATTTTAAGACTAGAGGCCCCATGCATGAAAATTCATGCACTGGAATGGGGGCTTCCCTCACCCTGGCCTGTCCCCTCTCAGAGTCTGTCTTTCCCTCTCTCTCCCATTCTCTCTAAAAATCAATGGGAAAATATCCTCTGGTGAGAATTAAAATGAGGATTTAAAAAATAAGTAAGTAAGTAAGTAAATAAATAAATAAATAAATAAATATTTAAAAAAAAAATAAAAAAGGAGAGCACCATTGCCCTGGTCAGTTTTTCTCAGTGGTTAGATGTAGGGAGCAGCTTTAGGGTCAAGCCTCGGGCTGACCTGTGGCAGGGCCACAAACAAGTCCCAGCCTGGAGGGCAGAGGTCTCTCCTAGCACAATTAAGCCAGTCCTTGCAGCCCTCCCTAATTCCTTCCTAAGTAGCTAATGGGAGGTGCAGCAAGTGTTGCCAAAACAAGACCATTTGTATACATGTTAATAAAATAAACCATCAGCTTGCAGTCTGAGTCTTTTCTGTCTTCATCCAGGCATGGGAGATCCACCAAGCCCCAGCTGCATTCTCTTGTCTATCTTTTCTTCAATTCTTTACTGCTCCTCCTCAGGATCACCCTTGGCCATACTGGCGTGGGCATAGTTAGTGTGTTGTGGGTTCAATTCCTGGTCAGGGGCACGTACCTCAGTCACAGGCTTGGTGCCCAGTCTGATTGAGGAGCATGCAGGAGGCAAACGATCCATGTGTCTCTCACATCCATGATTTTCTCTCTCTTCCCCCTCTTCCCTCCCTTCCACTCTCTAAAAAGAGAGTACCGTTTGAGATAACTACTTGAGGTATTTGACTATTTGAGGTAATCTTTCTGCACTGTCTTCTATACACTTTCTTCCTTCTGTGACAGGAAGGGCACAAGGACAAAAGCCAACATAATGATAGTGGAAAAGGAAGGAGCGAGCCTGGTCATCACTGCTGTGGTTGAGCTGCTGAACTAGCCTCACTGCTTCTCTCCAGACTCCAATGTGAGAAAAGGCAATGTCTTCACTGGCAAAACCACTGAGAGTTAAGTTTCTATTATTTGCAGCCCAACGAATTCCTAACAGATAGGTCTGAGAATTACATTTATTCTTTCATTCAATAAATACTTATGGAGGGCCAATTTTTTTTGTTCTATTTTAAAAACCAGAATTCTGCTACTAAGAATTTACCCAGATTTACCTGAAAAAGTGGGCCAAGATTTATAGGTACAAGGACACTAATGTCCAACAAGAGTTGACTCTATAAATTAGCTCTTTTCATGGAATTCTAGCAAAATAACACATGTGATGACATAAAACATCTCAAAGATACAAAAAAAAAATGATCCATTTTATATACATAAAAATGTAATTTTAAAAAATTATCTTGGTTCTGCCCTACTCGGTTTGTCCTGGTGGATAGAGTGTTGGCCTGTGGACTAAAGGGTCCCAGATTTGATTCTGGTCAAGGGCATATGCCTGGTTTGTGGTCAACTAACCAATGGTTCTCACTCATCATTGGCGTTTCTATCTCTCTCTCCCTTTGTCTCTGAAATTAATTTTAAAATATTTTTAATTATCTTGGTTCCAATAACCTAAAATTTTCCTTTCTACAGTAATGCTACCTGGAGGAACAAATGGCCTGCCTTGGAGCAAAGGTTGTGCCCCCAAGATGGCAGGTCCAAGTGACTATAATACACTGGCCCCTCAGCCCACTTCCATCCCAACCAGTATTCTCTGATAAAGGAGAACTACTCCTGAAGTTTAAGAGTGATATCTATGGCAACTCACCAAGTTTTATCTTCCCATCTCTCCCCTAGCCACACCCAACTAGCACCCATTTTCAGTGTTCTCAGAAAGAATGAATCACCTCTCCTTCCCAAATAGTCCCATAATCTCACAGCCATACTCAGACCCCTAGCTCTCTTTCCTCATGTTACTCCTCAAACAGCACAGACAAGCCCATCTGCTGTGGCTCAGTGGTTGAGCATCTATCTATGAACCCAAAGGTCATACTTTGATTCCCATTCTGGGCAGATGACCACATTGTGAGCTTGACCCCAGTGTGGGACTTGCAGGAGGCAGCCGATCAATTATTCTCTCTCATCCTTAATGTTCCCTTCTCCCTTGCCTCCTTCTCTCCCTCCCTGTTTCTCTCTGAAATCGATAAGAATATTTTTTTAAAAAGTACAGACAAGCCAAAACCAGTTTGGCTCAGTGATAGAGCGTCGGTCTGCAAACTGAGGGGTCCCGGGTTTGATTCCCGTCAGGGGCATGTACGTTGGTTGCAGGCACATCCCCGGTAGGGGTGTGCAGGAGGTGGCTGGTCAATGTTTCTCTCTCATCGACGTTTCTAGCTCTCTCTCTCTCCCCCGCTTCCTCTTTGTAAAAAATTAATAAAATATATTATTTTTTTAAAAAGTACAGACAAGAGGGTCAGCACCAGCTTTTATTGGGGGACAAGAAGCACCATACCCCTATTCCCCAAACCCAGGGCTGTTTCTTATGCTCAAGCAGCAGGAACAGAAGCAGGCATCAGAGTGCATCACGAGCCCAGGACAGCATTTCTCCTGGCTTCCAGGACAAGCCCCTTGGAGTCACCAGAGAAGCTCAGGACACCGGGGTCTCTGCAAGAAGAAGTAATGTCAAGTCACAGCTGTGCCCTCCAGGCTCCAGGTCCCCAGGTGTTTCCTGGCCACTGGAGAGAGAGAAGCTTGGCATTAATTGCTCTCGGGAACCTTAATTGGACACAATCTAGTCCAAACTGGCATTGAAGACTCTAATCATTCAGATGTCAACTTTACCTCTCCTGTTATAACAACAGCCTGCCTGTTCCTTTGCCCATTCTCACCTCCCACCTCCACCCCGACTCCCCAAGCATGTCAGATACATTTCACCCTCTGTGCCTTTGCTAGCGATCGCCAGACCCTCTGTCCAGCATGTTCTCTGGGCTGTCCTCCCTTTATCACAATCTCCCTCACCTTTAGGGCCCATGTCAAATCCTCTTGCTAACAGGAAGACCTTCCAAGGAGCCCCACCCACCCTGAAAACCTATACGCCCATCCCGTCTATGCAAGGGCTTTGTGATATATGATCTGGAACGTATGATCTTGCTCTCCAACTAGACTCTCCTGGGCAGAAACTTGGTCTTGGCCTTCTGAAGTCCCAACTCAGCACCTAAGCAAGTGCCTCACACACAACAGTTTATGTCCATTGTTTTTGAGGATGTTGGGCTGGACTCACCTAATTCATGGCCAGTTGGGGCTTCACAACTGGTGGGAAACAGAAGCGCCCGCAGCCTGACTTGCAGCACTTTTTCCCAGCTGGACAGTTCTTGTCCTCGGCGCATTCGACAATGCACAGGCCCACCAAAACCTTAGGACATTCACCGGCCCGTCCTGTGGGGAAACAGGCACAGGTAGAGACAGGGCGCTCGGCTCCACTGACTGAGTTCCGTCTGGAACTCAGACATGGGGCCTCCCAGCAAATCCATCCCAGAACCAAAGATCTGGCTGGGAAGCCTTGAGCTGGAGGACCTAAGAAGATCCAAGAGAGCAGTTGGACCAACAGTATTCCAATAGGGTCCCAAAGGGAGCTCCCTAGAGGAAGCTGGGGGGCTGACACTTCTGTGGGGTTGGGGGTGGGGCTGGGCAGAGTGCGGAAGGAGCAAGGCTCCCAGATCACTGGCCTCCCAGCTGCTAGGGCTCCACAGCGTCACTAGGCTTCTCCGCCACCCTAGACCATGTTTATGCTTTGTGTTCCTTTCGCCCAACCTGACTATAATCCACTCATTTGTCTACCTTCCCTGATGAGCTATATACTACATGAGAACCAGAGTCTGTCCCCAAGCCCTGACCCTTGCCTGGGAATGTAAATGCTGTCTAAAGACATCTGGGCCAGTGCTTCTGAAATGGAGTTCTACAGTGCCAGGCACAACTGGAGCACTCAAAATAATACGTTTGTTTAAAACATAGACTGAAGAAACAAAGAAATCATACCAGGAATGCTTTTATCTGTTGCATTTATGTCCCTTCTGAGGACGATTTCAGGAGGTGGGGAAGCTTTGTGCAAAGAATTAGGTCAGAAAATCATGATCTGGGGCAATGCCCTCATTTTACAGGTAAAGAAACTGGCTCAAAAAGAGGGGTTGGTTTGCCCCAGGTCACAGGGCAAATCATCAGCAGAAGCAAGACCAGAAGCCACGCTGCCTGGCTCCTAGCCTAGGGATTTGTCCTGCTACCCCACCTGCCTTCCCCTAATTATTTTTTATTACTTTTTTTTTTCTTTTTTTTTTTTGTGGGTTTGAGGTTTATATTTTTTTATTATTATTATTTTCTTCTTTACTGATGAAGGTATTGCATATGTGTTCCCTAGTTATTAATGCGAACAAGGATCACTGGCCATAGGAGGAGGGGCTGCCTTGGGTTGAGGGGCCCAGGAGGACAGGAAGGATGAGAACTCTGATTCTGCCCAGGAAGGGAACAGCAAGAAGGCCAGAGATGACTCCCTCCCAAACTGACTCAGGGACTCAAGGAGCACTGAGGGAGCCCTTCCCCAAAAGTCCACATACCTCCTTTAATGTCTCCTCGGCAGCTGTACCCACAGCCAGTGCTACAGCACTTATGCCCCTGAGGACAGGAGTTGTCTCCATCGCACAGCTTCTTGCATGGAAGGGGGTCGGGAGGACATTCACCGCCAGCCTCTGCCGTAGGATCAGAGCAGTGGGTCTCAGCGGTGTTTCCTGCTATTTCTTCTGTGACTCTCAAGTACAAAATACTAGTACATTTTCTATGTTGTCCCGTATGTACGTTAATACAGATGTAGGTTTAAAATGGACATATTCGGGGGCATTCATGCACATGTGATGCTGACACTTCATATTCTATGTCTCCTTTTCTTAATGCAGGCCACCAACGACTGAATTCATTTCAAGACTTGCCATTTGAAAAACACTGTTGAGGTCTCACCCCACTTTCTGAGGGTGATGGACATCAACACTGGTGACCCCGATGAGCCCTGCCTCCTGAGATGCCTGCCCGGTACAGCCCTCTCCCACATTGTCTCTGGGCTCCACCATGTGACTTGCTTTGACCAAAAGGACATCAGCAGGTGTGACTGGTGTGAGCAGAGGCTGGATATACAGTTACATAGTGGGGTTGTCCTCTTAGAACACTCCCTCCTGGAAGCCAACTCCCTCCTGGAAGCGCTCTGTAGCAGCTTGAGGAGATGCCCCATTAGAGAGAACCTGGCTGAAGAGAGGATCCTGGGCACCTCAGCCACAGTCGGGCTCCCCACTAAACCCCCAGATAAGTGACCTCAGCTATATACACCATGTGTTGTAAGAGCTGCCCACCTAACCCACACTGAGTTTGGGGGTGATGTGCATGCAGCAATAGATAACTGAAACTCTGGTTAACGGAACCCCAGGTTTGTTCTGAGAGGCAATGAGGCCAGCCAGCTAAAATGACTTGCTCCCCCATAATCCCCTGTAACTAGGGGTGGCCACAAATTGAGACGTAGCTGGGCCAACTTTTGCTCTCCTGATATAGAGATGACACCTTTCAAACTGCCCCTCACTTCAGCCTTCTTCCAGTGCAAAGACTGACCCAGCACAGGGTGGTACCACAGCCTTCCTTTAACCAGGAGGCAACTAGGATAAGGAGGAATCCAGGGCCGCCAAGAGAAAGAAACTGTTTCATCCTTGCTGGCGTCACAGAGATGCCACCCACCTCTCCCTCGCACCTACTTCAGGGCTTCTCCTTATGCAAGAACAATGAGCCCCCTTGCCAAAACCAGTTTGGCTCAGTGGATAGACTGAAAGGTCCCAGGTTTGATTCTGGTCAAAGGCATGCACCTTGGTTGTGGGCACATCCCCAGTAGGAAGTGTGCAATGTTTCTCTCTCATCGATGTTTCTAGCTCTCTATCCCTCTCCCTTCCTCTCTGTAAAAAAATCAATAAAATTAAAAAATAAAAATAAAAAAGGCCGGGACCAGTTTGGCTCAATGGATAGAGTGTCGGCTTGGGGACTGAAAGGTCCCGGGTTCGATTCCGGTCAAGGGCATGGACCTTGGTTGCGGGCATATCCCCAGTGGGGGGTGTGCAAGAGGCAGCTGGTCGATGACTCTCTCTCATCGATGTTTCTAACTCTCTATCTCTCTCCCTTCCTCTCTGTATAAAATCAATTATAAAAAATAAAAAAAGAAAGAAAAGAACAATGAGTCCCTGTTCAGTAAACTTTCTGCCATGGATAGACACACGCAGTGCTCCTGAATTGTCTCTTCACTGTCCCTGTGAAAAGAATGAAACTCAGAGGGAAGAAGGGGTTTTCCCAGACTGCAGAGTGAGTCAGCAGCAAAGCAGGACTAAACTCAGCCTCTCCGCTCGCTAGGAAGCACTCTTTCTGCTACACCACCTTTATGGCACGCAGACACCACCTTTATGGCTCGGGATCCTCGGGAGCAGGCACACCCAGAGAGGTCACATCCCAATCAAACCAACTCACCGTGACTCATTCACCTCATTGTTTACTTCAAGATTTTTAAATGGAAAATAGTGACAGGCTATTAAAGGCTTTGGAGAAAGCCAAGGCAGGACTGGCTCGGTGCCTCTGAGTAAGAACACGTAACATATTTGCATACGGCTGGCTCCAGGAAGTCTGCCATGATGGAAAAAGCAAGTGTTGGCCTCCAGCGAGAACACACTGGATAATCATGATATAATAACCCTGTTCCCTAGGGTTTTCCTGCACAGCTCTTGTTTCAGATATTCTGTGCCACTATCTGATCACATCAAAACCACATGTCCCGATTTTCATTTCAGAAATAAGGTCATTATAGCCACCAGATGCCTCCTCAGACCTACCCCCCCTGCTTGACAAACATTAGATCCAGTTAACAAAGAACAATGCCTTTTTTTAAAAATATATTTTATTGATTTTTTTTACAGAGAGGAAGGGAGAGAGATAGAGAGCTAGAAACGTCGATAAGAGAGAAACATCGACCAGCTGCCTCTTGCACACCCCCTACCGGGGATGTGCCTGCAACCAAGGTACATGTCCTTGACCGGAATCAAACCCGGGACCTTTCAGTCCGCAGACCGACGCTCTACCACTGAGCCAAACTGGTTTCGGCAAGAACAATGCCTTTTGACCCGCGGTGAAATCTCCTTGGTGGAAAACAACCAGCAACATAAACTTCTCATAAGCCCTAGAAAGTGGTACCTAGAGCGACACGCTCCCTAGATTTCACCATTTTGCCGAGCACGGCTCTGAAGTGACCAGTGTCAGGAGCACTCTGCTACTGGAAGGGAATAGAGGTTTGGTCTCTACGCTGGTCCTGGGGATGAGGGGAGCTGCTGGCAGAAAAGTGAAATCTCAAGACATCCTAAGCCAAGAAGGGCCCTGTGAGCTCTGAAGCCTATTCCTCTTCTCTTGCAAATAAACATCCAGGAAAGGAGGGGGCTTGACCTGAGATCAAAGAGGGCAGAATTGGGTCCCAAAACCACATGGCCTTGGTGCCCTTTGAACCACATCACTATGATCCCCTACTCCACAAGGATCACCCCAAAACAAACCAAGAAGCGCTGGGACTCACTCAGCCCAGTTCTGCCCAGAGAGAATGCCTGGTAGTAGATGGTTGCAGGAGTTAGGAAAACAGAAACAAACCAGTGTGTTGGTAGCCCTTGAGACCATCCTAGGTTTGGTGATTCACTAGGGCAAACAGGATTCAGCATATAAACATGCTCATGGCTCTGATTTATTAAGTCTATAATCTCAAACCGTGACAAGGACATGGAGGAAAATTAAAGGGCGCTGAGAGATAGAATAACCGGGAACTCACTTTAGATTGGATACAGTGGCCAGCTCCAAACACTGGGCAGATTGTACCAGGTCCTTCAAGCTGGCAGTGAGGGACCCGCCTGAGACAGATTCCCAGGCTCTGGTTCCAGGACTGGACCTCAAGAGTCTTGGCAAGGAGTACAACCCTCTATTCTCTCTTATGGGCAGGCTGCCCAAGAGAGCTGCCTATGCCAGGCACAGACAACTCCACTGGGCACAGGGAAGGGACCTGCCACCTACGGAGGTCTGGCTGGAAGGAAAGAGGTTGTCACGTGGAGTGGAGTGGCTGGGCCTCAGAGAAGATGTGATCAGGGGAGAGAAAATCACCCTGGTTCCTGATGAATGGACTAATTAGAAACTGCACCCCGACGGGTTTGCCTTAAGAAGCAAATGGAAGAGAGCTCATGGGTAGTGAGGGCCAAACACTGTACATACGGTGAATCATTACAACAACCTGCGAGGTTTATTCTTTCCATTTTGCAGCAAAGGGAACTGAGGCTCAGAGAAGCAGAAGAGATTCGGCCAGGGACCCACTGGCCAGTGACTGGTGAACCTCGCACTTGAACCCAGACCTCTGACAACCAAAATCTATGCTTTTTCAGTGTAATAAGCTACCCCGTGTACTCATATGAGAGAAGGTTCCAGTTCCTTTAGAAAACATAATAGAAGGCATAATGTAAGATCCTATTGGAGACAGCAAAGAAGATAATAAAGTAATGAGTATTAACTTATCAAAAAAAAAAAACTTTAAAACTAGAAAACACCTGGAAATACACCAAATACACTTAGAAAATGGGAAGTCATAAAGATATCACGTAAGATCTGTCCTAGCCAGTTTGGCTCAGCAGAAAGAGCGGCAGCCTAGGAACTGAAGAGTTCCGGGTTCAATTCCAGCCAAGAGTATGTATCTAGGTTGCAGACTTGATCCTCAGCCATGGTTGGGGCATGTGCCAAGGCAACCAATTGATGTGTCTCTTTCACATCAAGGTTTTCCTCTCTGTCTCTCTCTCCCTTTCATTCTCTCTCTCTCCCTTTCATTTTTAGAAACCAAAGGAAAGCCGGGACCGGTTTGGCTCAATGGATAGAGCGGCTTGGGGACTGAAGGGCCCCAGGTTCGATTCCGGTCAAGGGCATGTACCTTGGTTGCAGGCATGTCCCCAGTAGGGGGTGTGCAAGAGGCAGCTGATCGATGACTCTCCCTCATTGATGTTTCTAACTCTCTATCTCTCTCCCTTCCTCTCTGTACAAAAATCAATAAAATATATTTAATAAATAAATAAATAAATAAATAAATAAATAAATAAATACCAATGGAAAAATATTTTTGGGTAAGGATTAAAAAAAAAAAAAAAAAAAGTCAGATCTCCCTAAGTTAAGTTATACATCTAAAACCTCTCCAATAAAAGTAGCCTCAGTCTTTAGAAGGGAGGAAGTGGGGAATAGGCCATGTGATAATAAAACATCTTTGGAAGCTCAGGCAAACAAAAGTAGCCATGACCATCTGAAACAAAGGGACATGAGAAGAGGATACCCATGGGAGACACACCATCCATTTCAAATCCGTATTGGGGGCCGCTCAGGGAATGAGGAGGAGCTGAGAAAGAGAGCACAGTTTTCTCACTTCTACTTCTAAATTCTCTCCATTGTGTCACCTTTCTCCATTCCCACTGCCATCTCCCTAGTCCAACTGCACCCTGTCCACACCACTCTCTTCCTCCCTGTCTCAACCATTCCAGCCTTCTTTTAGTTTCTCAGATGTGGCAAGCTCCTTCTCAGCTTAAAGACTTCTGCGCTTGCTTCTCTCGTTCTTAACATGGCTAACTTCAACTCCAGGTCTCAGGTTAAATGTCACACCCTTAACCTGGCTAACTTCAACTCCAGGTCTCAGGTTAAATGTCACTTCCTCAGACAGGCCTCCCTTGACCATCTAATCTAAAATGAGTTCCGGGTTATTCAATATCTCTTTGCCCCCTTTAATGTTCCTCCATATCCTTGTCAGAGTTTGAGGTTACAGGCTTATTTCATGCTTGTCTGTTAAAGCCTCTTTCTCCCCATGAGTCTATGATCTCCACGAAGGCAGGGACTGGATCTGCTTTGTTCACCACAGTTTACCCAGAACTCATCGCTGGATCCGACATAGAGTAAACACTCATTAAATATATACAGAAATAATGTGTAAACAGCCGAAACCGGTTTGGCTCAATGGATAGAGCGTCGGCTTGGGGACTGGAAGGTCCCGGGTTCGATTCTGGTCAAGGGCATGTACCTTGGTTGCGGGCATATCCCCAATAGGGGGTGTGCAAGAGGCAGCTGATCGATGACTCTCATCGATGATTCTAACTCTCTATCTCTCTCCCTTCCTCTCTGTACAAAATCAATAAAATATATTTAAAAAAATAAAAAAAAGAAATAATGTGTAAATGGAGAATTAGTTCATGGGGACCCGCAATAGTTTGAAAGAAGACATCTCTTTCAAACACCTCTCAACCAGAACCAGAATAAAATAGGACCCATTTCCAACAGGAGACAGCAATCCTATGTGTGGACAGGGGGGACATGGAGTCTCAGAAGCAAGTGGGGGTGGGGAGGTGCTGCTTTGTATAGGTAGCAAGATTCTTTTTGCTGCCTCTTTGCAGATTCTCCAGCTAAGAATTTTATAGAGAAGACTGCAACTGATAACAGGAATTGGAAATTATCCAACCGCATTCAAATCTTCCCATAAATATAGATATGCCAACATTTCCCTTCCAGAGCCTCTTCTGCCTGCCGAGGCCATATCCCACAAACCACCATGGCTTGGGTAACCTCCCTACATCTTCTCTTAGAAAAGATCTCAAGACATAGGAGGCACTTTATTGTTTTTCAGAATAAAGGAAAACCAACAACGAGATGGCATGTGCATATCTGAGAAAGAAACGAGGAGGCCAAGCAGCAAGGTTCCCACAGGTTGAGAACCACTGCTGTAGAGCCTAAGACCATCGGAAAACACAGATATTTACATTATGATTCATTAACCGTAGCAAAATTACAGTTATGAAGTAGCAACGAAAATAATTTGGTTGGGGGTCACCACAACATGAGGAACTGTATTAAAGGGTCATGGCATTAGAAAGGTTGAGAACCACTGCTCTAGGAGAAAGCCTGAGAGGGGGGAGAAAGCCTGGGAAACCTGCCCTTGTTGTCCCAAGAACCTCTGCACCCAGTACAGTCCTACCGAGATGTCCACCAATGAGGCCCTCACTCTCGAAGGAGGCAGGGGACGACTTCTCTGGTCACTTTCTGTTCCTGCTAGCCAGGGATGATGACTCACCATGCTTTTCTGCAGCCACCCAGGATGTCAGGGACCCAAGAGCAAGAAGGACCTTCAGGAGGAAGAGGGAGCTCAACATGATGATGATGCTGATGATGCTGAGAGCTGAGATGAGAGCTCAGGTCCGGCCAGAGGTGTTCACCTTGCCCAGAAAGGTAGCACTAAGAGACTGGCCTAAATCCAGCCCCAAAGTTTGCCCTTTTGTAATAGTCACCACGGACGGCCTCCTCTGACAGGAAGAAAAATGATTGGGTGCTGGCGTGTGGGAAAATTCCTGGCACTACGAAAGGACACAGCATGGTGATTAAGCTCTATAATGCACAATACGCGATAGCCCTGAACAATGATGACAAACCTGAAAAATTGGAGAGAAGCCCTGGATCGAGGATCAAAGCGAGCCCTAATGGGCCTTGGAAGGACACAATGACAAGACTTAATAGGAAAATGACCAAAGTTAATAAAACGCACTGTGGCTCCTGTTCATCCTAGCAATCTAGAAAACAGATACTCAAAAAGCTGCAAAGTCTGAAACCAATTTGGCTCAGTGGATAGAGCGTCAGCCTGCGGACTGAAAGGTCCCAAGGGCATATACCGTGGGTGCGGGCACATGCCCAGTGGGGGTGTGCAAGAGGCAGCTGATCAATGTTTCTCTCTCATTGATGTTTCTAACTCTCTATCCCTCTCTCTTCCTCTCTGTAAAAAAATCAATAAAATTAAAAATTAAAAAAAGCTGCAAAGACCTATCTTTGAGTCTGCCCAGAACTAATTTAAATGCACCAAAGCCTACATCTTGATCCCTATGGCCCACACAGACCATCCTAGGACTGTATGAAGGCTAGTTGACAGAACCACAAAGAATAGTTGTTATGATTCAAGTAAATCTAGACCACATAAACTCCTTTTATTTATCTCTTTTTGCTCTATTTCTTTTTTAAAAATATATATTTTTTACTTATTTCAGAGAAGAAGGGAGAGGGAGAGAAAGATAGAAACCTCAATGATGAGCTGAAACCGGTTTGGCTCAGTGGATAGAGCATCGGTCTGTGGACCGAAAGGTCCCAGGTTCAATTCGGTCAAGGGCATGTGCATTGGTTGTGGGCACATCCCCGGCAAGGGGTGTGCAGGAGGCTGCTGGTCGATGTTTCTCTCTCATCGATGTTTCTAGCTCTCTATCCCTCTTCCTTCCTCTCTGTGGAAAATCAATAAAATATTTTTTTTAAAAAGAAACCTCAATGATGAGAGGAAATCATTGATCGGCTGCCTCCAGCATGCCCCCCACTGGGGATTGAGCCTGCACACCAGGCATGTATCCATGACTAGCATCAAACCCAGGACCCTTCAGTCCATAGGCTGATGCTCTATCCACTGAGCTAAATCAGCTAGGGACTTTATTTATTTTTATTTATCTAACTGCTTAAGACTTTGGTCAGCCATGATACCAGTGTCACTGCTTAGCCCAGTGAAGTTAAAGGGCAGGGAACATCCAAGACTCAAGATAAAATCCTCCTAACAGTGCCAAAGAGCTCAGTGTCAGGAAGTTGCCTTTTTTTTTTTTTTTTTTGTGGTGTGTGTGTGTGTGTGTGTGTGTGTGCGTGTGTCTTTTGCCTTTTTGTTTTAAGGCTGATATTGGAGCATAGAGGTTGATGACCTATTATGTGCTTTATATACATTATTTTAATCCTCATGATCATCTTGCAGAGGTAAAAGTATCTCAGAGGGGCTGAGGAAAATTGCCCAAGATCCTAAAGCTACTATGTGGTGGCTGCTAGAATTTAATTAATGACAGCATTGCTTGAGGGTTTACTTGTGCGACAGTTCTAAGTGCTTTATATTAATTAACTCACTTAACCCTCACTGCAACCTAAGAGTTTGTTACTATTATCCCCATGCTACAGATGAAGAAACTAAGGTGCAGAAAGAAACATGGGTCACACAGCTAATAAATGGTAAAACAAAGATAGGCAGGCCAATTTCGTAGTTCTTAATCACCACTCCATACTGGATTTCAGCTCAGATCTTCCTAACTGCAAAACCCACGCAGACAGGGCACATACCTAGGCTTTGGGTTCAATCCCTGCTCAGACTGCCTGTGGGAGGGAGTCAATCAATGTTCTCTCTTTCTCTCTCTCAAAAAGCAATAAAATAAAATAAATCACACACTTTCTACTCCCCTTTGTTGTGACCTGGAAAACGTAACTTTCTCTACCACTCATAGATCAATTCTATTCAGGGCCTCCTTACAGCTAAGGCAGAGTTAAGGGGCGCTCTAGGGAACCCTGCATCCCCTGCCCATCCCAGAATCAGAGTCTGGGGAGAAAAGTCCAGCTCCCTGGGGCTAGAGTTAGAATCCACGGTTCAAGTCCCAGCCTTTATTCTGATATCTTCAGACCCAGAGGCAGCTCCTGGGGTGGGAGCCTGTTAAGACCCAGTAGGTGTCCAGCCAGCCTGGCTCACTGGTTGAAGGTAGACCAATGAACCAGGAAGTCAGGTTGAGGGCTGGATCCCCAGTGTAGGGCATGCAGGAGGCAGCCAATCAATGATTCTCATCATTGATATTTCTAACTCCCTCCCTCTCCCTTCCTCTTTGAAATAAAAATATATTATTTAAAAATAAAAAAAAGACCCGGTGCGGTGCGTGAGTGGTAGGGATGGCCTGGGCCTCCTGTAGTGGGGGTTCCGTGTCCACTCCAATTCTGGGGGCTCAGTATAGGGCATATTGAAGTCTACAGTTTTCGAAGACTGAACTGCAGACGCTGCGGTACGAAACGCTCCCCTAAATCCCCCAACTTCAACCCCTGGAAGCCTGCTCCCCTTCCTCTGCCCCGCACTTCAGAAGGGGAACGACTCTTGATTGAACACCCAGAGGGACGAAGGGAGGGGAAGAAGGGGAGGGAGACCCGGGAGGGAGCCCCGCCCGCCCACTCTCACTGGGTCTCCAGGGTCTCAGGGCTGGAAGCGGCGGTTGGTTCCCATGGTAACCCCGCTGCTCGCCGCGGCGCGCTTTCAGGCCGGCGGCCGCGCGTTCCAATGACGTCACGGGGCCACTTTCCGGCCCATTGGCAGAGTCGGGCTAGAGTTGTGAGGATCGGGGGCGCCATGGGGGCCACTGGCGACGCCGAGCAGCCGCGGGGACCCGGCGGGGCAGAGCGTGGCGGCCCGGAGCTGGGAGACGCGGGCGCAGCGGGGCAACTGGTCCTCACGGTGAGAGTGCCCCGAGGGAGGCCGGGCGGCCTGGGCTCGGGCCCGCAGGGCCTCGGGTTCCCGGGACCCTCGCCCGCGGGCAAAAGAACGCGGGGGCTGGAGTTTTTCTCAGTCCGACGACGAGGGTTCAGGTTCGGGTGCCGCCCTCCTCGCTAGGTGACTGGGTCAGTCCTGTCAAGGCCCCGTTTCTCCTTCTATAAAGCGGAGATGATTGGGATCTGCCTCCTAAGGTTGTGGGGATGGCATATCAATGCGGTAAAGCGCCCCCAGCACACACCATCTGCCACCTGAGTAGGTCCTCGGTAAACACCGGTTCCCTTCCTCCAGCCGTTCCTGAAAAGCAGGATTTTGAAAGCAGGATTCTCTCTTCCCTTCCCTGGCAGGGCCTTCCAATCAATCTCTGCCCACCCCGATCAATCGCGAACACCTGAGAAGCAGGGCTGTCTAGGTTTAACTTCATACTCACCCTCCACCCTCACCCCAGTGTCACCGCCTTCGGTGACACCTGCTCCCTTGGCCCCCACAGAATCCTTGGAACATAATGATAAAGCACCGGCAGGTGCAGCGGAGGGGCCGCCGCTCACAGATGACCACCAGGTAAGGACGACTCTGGATGGGACTTACCTCCCAGGCACTGTCTGAGAAGGCAGCTTTGGGGTCCTAGTTGTAGAGGGCTGAGAAGAGAACGTCACGCAGTAGAATGAGCGCTGGATTAGAAAAGAGGAGACTCAGAATCTGCGGCTTTCTGTGACCTTCAGCAAATCACTTCCCTCTTTGAATTCATATTCAAAATGAGGGAATGGCCGAAACCAGTTTGGCTCAGTGGATAGAGCGTCGGCCTGCGGACTGAAAGGTCCCAGGTCCATTCCGGTCAAGGGCATGTACCTTGGTTGCGGGCACATCCCCGGTGAGGGGTGTGCAAGAGGCAGCTGATCGATGATTCTATCTTATCGATGTTTCTAACTCTCTGTCCCTCACTCTTCCTATCTGTAAAAAATCAATAAAATATTTAAAAATAATAAAAATATATACAAAATGAGGGAATAGATAGATGAAACAATGCCTGAGCCACCTAAGCCAGGTGTGGCTCAGTGGTTGAGTGTCAACCCTTGAATCAGGAGATCACAGTTCAATTCCTGGTCAGGGTACATGCAGGGGTTGCTAGCTTGATCCCCAGTAGGGGGCGTGCTAGAGGCAACCAATCAATTATTTTCATCATTGATGTTTATATCCTTTCTCTCTCCCTCTCTCTGAAATCAATAAAAACATATATTTTCTTAAGTGTGGCTAATAGTATCTATAGGGTACTATTATCCTGTGGTAAGAGGATAATAATAATTGTTGTCATTAAATAGATAATAAAAGGAAAGGGAAAGAGCACTAGATGGGCTTTTGAAATGCTGATTATATTTTTTGACCTGGATAGTGATTAAATGGATGTTCGCTAACACTCCTTGTTAATGTGTATAGGCTTTTCTATATAAGTATTATACAGTATTTCATAACACTTTTAAAACAATACTCATTTCAGAGAGTAATGAGATAAAATAAAGGCATGCATCTATGTAGTTTACAGAGAACCTGGGCACATAGCTAATTTTCGGTAAAAACTATTATTGTCATTAAAGGATCCTATGTCAATAACTAGCCGGGCAGACTAAGGAAGGGTGTGTTTAGGATATGTCCCTGACTGTGCCTCCCTCCTGAACACAGTTTCACAGATCCCGCTATCTCCATGGACCTCCTTCGAGCTGTGCTGCAGCCTAGCATCAACGAGGAGATCCAGACTGTGTTCAACAAGTACATGAAGGTGAGAGGGGCCACGGAAGTAAAACATTAAATGGGAGAAAGACTCATGAGCAGTCCTTTCCTGCTTCC